ACCATGGCCAAACCATCTCAGCTGAAATAGCATTTTTTCCCCATTCATTGCATCAAACAGTGTTCCCCAGTTTTGCATGATTCAATTTACCTTTCAGTTATTTCATGGTGTCTGTGTAACCCAGGGTTAGGCACACATGCACCTATGTATTGACCAGCTCCAGGAAGTCAGGTTTCTTACTGCCTTGTTCCAGGAAGTCGCGTTTCTTAGTGCCTTCTAGTATGAACTCAGCTTGTTGTACAAGAAAGTACTTAACACTTTAAAGAAGGTTCTTCTGTGATCTCATTACTGTGTGGACTGTGTTATGTGGTAATGGAAACCTCATCAATTATAGGCTGTTCAGTTACATCCTGTGTAATGCAGGGTCACCCTATGGAGCTTATATGGAATTACGGACAAAAGGCCTATTCTCTTCCACATAAGCACAAACCCAAATTAATTTTGAGTCAGACTTGGCAGCATTTCAGATTTCTGCTGCCCATGTAGTTAAAAAGAATGACACTAATGAATAAAATTATTTTATAAGAGCGCTGACTTACATCCTAAAAATGTTGACTCATTTCGGCACCCATTCCATGGCTCATTTTGCACATGGAAGTCTCCTTTGTGTGAAGCCTTGCTTCATCTCCTAGTCCTGATTTCAGCCCGTCTGGTGCTGTTTGATCTCACCCAGTCCCCATTAGGTCACGTGTGTAAGTTTTCCCATTGATTCCAGCACTTGATCTATTGGCCCCTACATAGTTGACTGTGTAAAGAAATAGTAGTAAGAAATTATTAGCTGGATAGATTGAAAATAATTTAATGACAGTGTGTTGTGCCTGGCTGTTTGGCTACATTCTGTCTGCTCTTACTTCTTTCCTGGGGGAATTTCACATATCTCATTGCCTCAAGTCAGCCCTTGCTCTGATCTATCTCATCTCCACTGACCTGGGCAGGAGGGAATGCGGGAGGGAATACCTGGGGTTAGGGCTATCAGTGGCAGTCAGATAGGACTGACTCAGGCCTTCACTTGCCAATAGTATTTTAACTGAATTCCACCAACAGCTGGAAGTGCTCAGCTTTTCTAAAATCCCTGCTGACAGCAAACTGCATGAGCTACTCGAAAATAAAGGTAAGCAGCTTTACTGAACACAGGAAGAGGCTAATCAGTGAATTTTGCTATTGATTCAAATGGAGCAGAATTAGACTGATTCTCCAGCTGAATTTTAAATGCTGGGTATTAAATGTTTTTGAATCGCAGGACTACTATTTTTGCATGTAAAACTCACACATCAGATATTTTCACCTATTTACAAGAATAATTTACTGAAAATTAGTCCTTTAATGACCCTCACACAATTGATGCAAAAGCAGAGCCAGTGACAGGGAAGAACTATCAAGTGCTTTTAGAAAACTATTAGGAAGAAGGAAGCTTCCTTTTAAGCCTTGCAGATATGAATAACTCATGCTGCTGCTGTACTATGTGAGTACTTCCAATATTTCCATTTCTCAAGTATCCTGAGATACCTGAGATATCCTCAGGATACCTGAGAAATGGAAATATGGGAAGAGTGGGGGGTGTTGGAGTGGTCAGATCCATCCATGACTATGAACTATTTATTATTCTTTGTTTTATCAACAGTTTGGTACTAGGACTGTCAAATATCAGGAGACAAAAAAGCAGCCAACCCTGTGGAATTGTACAGAAATTAAGGCCTATTCTGGCACACAATTTCCTACAACTGCTCTCTTGGAAGTTGTCAGTACACAGAACAGATTTCCTAACTTTGGTCATGAACGTTGTTTCCTGGACTTCTGTCAATAGGTACTAACTCTGTGTATGAGGCATAAGCTAATCACTAAGAATTGAAAATTTTTTGTAAAAAGGAGAATTGTTATGTACTTCAGCTGGAGCCAGTTAACCCACTGCATCTTAATGGATTATTTTCTCTACCAGTCTCAAAAGACCAAAACAAGCCTTTGTTTCTCTATAAAAATGCAGGCCTTGTTAAACATAGATTACTGACTTTAAATCCCACAGTGCTGCTGCAGAAGTATAACTAGCACAGTTTCCAAAGACTTATTATTTTTTCAGCACTTTGTGCCAATTTTTTTCTGAAAAGTTGAATACTTTAATTTCAGAATCCAAGCTGTATGTAACACCCAGATTCACTGAGACCTCTTGAGGTTTCCAAAGAACTACTTGCCTATTTCCCTAACTAAGCAAACATATTTTCTCTTTCCTTTTCTTTTTCAGTTTGTGAATGAGTTTTCAACAGTTTTCTACAGCAGAGAGAAAACTTTTTAAGGCAACCAAATGCACTAAGCACATCTCATATTTGGCATCCTTTTAAAGCTCTAACAGCTATACCAGAGTAATAAGCCCTTGTTTCTTGTTTTATAAATGTATGAAGCCCACCCTTAAAACAGAGTGCAGTTTTTTACTGTTATTTTAAGAGTGATGTCCAGAAGAATAAAGGTTCTCAAAAACACAGTCTGTCCAATGTAACTCTTGCTTTGTCTTTGCTCTTCCCAATATTTTTCAACTGATTGTGAGAAATGTGACAGAGGTAGAAGTCACAGAGATAATGAGCTTCCTGCAAGTGTGATAAAAGTAATGCAGCAGATGAGAGTGATTTTATACATGGCACCTGTAAGTGCCACAGCCAAAGGAAAAACTGCACAAGCTCACGCAGGTTCAAACACAAGAGAAACCATATGGGGGAGACAGTTGTAAATGCTCCAGCAAAGACAGAAGCTGCAACCAAACTGCAAAGCATTCAGCCTGGGAAAACAAACTGCATCAGCTCCAGGACTTCTTAGAAAAGGGCCCCTCCTTTTTACAGTGAGACTATTATCAATGTCTTGAATGGGAGCCAGATCAACTCCCTAATTTGTAAATTGTAACAAAAGCATTATTTTCTGAGTGAAAGCGCATTTATAGTTATTAAAACAAAAGAAGGCTCATTCTCCTTATAAGATTGCATCAAAAACAACAGTCATGATAAAAATGAAAATGTTCAAGAGTGAATTTGTACGTGTGGATCATTCGATTAAACCTGAACCCTGTCTTGGGAGGGAATCCTTATGACAACTGCTTTTTTCTTCTTGATGCTCCTTACAGAATTCTAGTTACTTCCAAACCGTTTTCCCTGTGTAGCCTCCCCTCTTTTCCCCCCACCTTCTGCTTAGTACCATTTTTCAACTTGAAGCCCAAACATCTCTACCCTACCTAGGTAAGGAAAGTTAAGTGCACTGAGGTTCCTGCTAGCCCACACACCTCGGGGAGGAGAATGCAATCAGAATTCATGAATAGGTGCCAGGCTCAAAGCTTTGCCTCGAGCATTTTGCAAGATTCATCATACTCATTTGTTCTCTTCCCCCTGTGCTGATCAGCAGAACCCTTCCAGGCTACAGGGGGGCAGAAAAAGAGCTTAGGTCAGGGAAAATTAAATATTGCTGCTACTGTGATGCCAAGAAGTGTTTACTAGGCAATGAAGGAAGCCTTAACCAGCTAGGCTGAGCATGCTTTCAACCGGTCCTTCAAAAAGATAAAAGCAACCAACTTGTCATGACAGAAACAGAATTTCAGACAATTTAAAAATGGCCATAGTGAGTTGTTTTTAGGCTAACATCTTGTATATATTAAAATATTTTGAAAACAAATTAAACTCTTGCTAGTCCTGGTGTTTTCTAAACTAATACATATACATATTCCCAGAAGAAACCTCAGCAAGAAATCTGTGTGCTTCTATCCACAAAGAAGTGCAAGAGACAATGTGATAGCATAGTTATCATGTTGCTGTAGAAACCCCAGCAGAGTATTCTTTAACTTTGTGAGTTAAAATACAAACTGTAATGCTGCAATAAGAAATTAACGACAGATGAGCAGGACTAAAGTGAATACAAGTAATCCCAAACACTGTGGGACCTGCTTTCCTCAGCACTGGAGGTCTTTTGTTCTTATAAACAAGAACTTTAAACTGGTCAAGTTGCATTTTACACCTTTTGAACAGATTGGAGGCTGCTAAAGGAAGGAACACTCTTTACATGGGATCCTGCCTGGGAAGCAGGAAGCACCCTCTTTCTTTTAGACTCCAGTCACAACAAAAGCTTGTGGAAATACAGATGTGCTTGCCCAGAAACCAAATAAACACATTCCAGACAAAAAAAATTAGAGAGGAAAAAAGATGCTATGGAGATGTGAATCTACAGACTCACACTAGTGACAAATTGCCAAATAAAGGGTGTGCACTCCATCAGGCAGAACTGGACTTTACAATATATGAACAGCATAGATTAAAACCAGAGGTGAATTAAAAAATAATTAATCCAAACGAAAACTAAATAGTGTGATACAAAGAAGCAAAAGTAACTGACAGCCATCCCGGTGGAAAAAGAAAATCGGAGATGATCAGGTCATGCAGTCCTCGGCAGCGGTTGGGAATAAGCAGATTACTATTCAGAGCACATGGGGCTGGGATAATGCTAAACCCTCGAAGACATTTCATGGCATTTGTTTCCAGCCCCTTTGTTCCCCGCTGACACGTCTGGGGATCTCTCCATCCCTCTGCCGCCCCAGCCGCCCTGCGTTTTGACCCTCTCGCCCCGAAGCTGCGCTCCCCAGGCCAGGCTTTGCCCGGGCTCCTTCTGCTCTTTGTGAGGCTGTCGGAGGTCAGGGGAGACACAGCCGCGGGCCGAGAAGGTGGCTGGTAGGGGAGCCCCAAGTGCGAGAGAGAAGCGGGGTGAGCCTGAGGGGCTGCGGCGGGACCGCGGGCAGCGCAGAACCCGGGGCGCAGCGCAGAACCCGGGGGGCGGCCGGGGAGGGCGCGGGGGTGTCCGGGCGGCCGCTCCCCTCCGCTCCCCGCCGCGCTGGGCAGGCTGCGGCAGGTAGGTAGGCAGGCGGCATCGGCGGGGCTGCGCGGCTCCCCGCGCCCCGCTCGCCCTGCCCCCGCGGGAGGGGTGTGCGGCGAGGGGGATTAGCGGGACGCCGCGGCCCCGCCTTCCCCCCTCGCATCCCGGGCGCGATGAGAGGGGGAGATGGACCCGAGCCGGCGGGACTGGCACCATGACATTGGCCGGCTTCGTGGTGGCGCTGGTGATAGGGACGCTGCCCGGAGCCCGCGGGCCGGGGCAAGTCTCCGCCGGCCTCCCGGCCGCCCGCCCCCCGCAGCCCCCCGCCGGCTGCCCCGCCGGGGGCTTCCCCGCGGCCCAGCGCCCCTGGGCACCGGCGGCGGCCGCGCTGCCGCGGCGGGGGGCGGCGGGCCGGGCGCCGCGGGGACGCCGCAGCTCCTGCGCCCTGCCCGGCGCCGAGGGGCGGCCCGGCTGCGCTCCTGGGGCCGGCCGGGGTCGCGCCGGCTGCGAGCAAGGTGAGTGCGGACGGGCAGGCGGGGAGCGCGGCGGGAGGGTGCGCGGGGTCCGCGGGACGGGGAGAGGCACAGAGAGACCGAGAGAGCCTTGGCCGGGCGGCGGCGTTCTCTTCTCCCATCCCGGACCCGGTTCCCCGTCGCGGAGGGAACGGGGAACGGGAGGACGGGCACCGTTTGCCAACGTGACAGCCAAAGCTGTTCCGAGAGCAGAGTTAAACTTGTGCATTAGCGGGTGCAGCGGAAGGACCAAGGTCCCACCAGAGGTTATTCCGCCGCAATTTTCTAATTGTGGGTAAATCGCGTTTCGAAGCTGTGCTGTGAGTGTTCAGTAGGCTCAGCTAGCCAAGGCTGGCTGGCATTCTCTTCTTTGTAACGGGGTGCGCTTCTCCGGGAAGCACTTGGTCTACAGAAGTGAAGTGGCAGAAGGAGAAGCGGAAGGATGCCTTGCTCTAAAGGCGATCTGCTCACACAGTATGTCTGTCTGTCTGTCTGTCTTTTTTTACCCCATATCTTGGGGCTCACACGTTAGCGATGGTGCTCGAGGTCATCTGTAAACGGAGCCAAGAGGTCTGTGCTCCCTCCCCACACACTCCCAGCTGAACTCCCACTGACTTCAGGGGAGTTTTCAGTGTGTAAGGACTGAGCAGCAATTTCAGCATTCAGCCCTTGATCAGCTTTACATTTCATCAGTATCGACATTAAATGTCAATAGCACAGTCTGGCTTTGAATGATTTCACATTTTCTCCTACATCACTCTGATATTATCTCCCACCTATATAAGGATTATGTCCTATCTATACTAAAAATGATCAAGCCTAATCATTGCAATAAAAATTAAATTTCCCTGCTTTGTTGCCCTTCCTTTTACATATTTTCTAATAGCACAAGGTCAGCAAGGAAGTTCATCATTAATATTATTAATAATAATTTGTTCTTATGGAAGTTGGGTTTGTTGTGGGTTTTTAACATTAATTTAATTTCAGATTACTGAAAAGGATTGTTATGTTTCTCTTCCAACAATAGCCATAGAAGGTGTCCGAAAAAAAGATGATAACCTGAACAATGTGATAATTATACATTTTGGTATAAAATATCACAGGAAGAGGATATGGAGGCACCAAGGTCCATATTGATCATTTACATGTTAAAAAAAATGCAGCTTCCAAAGCTATGCTCCAAGTGAAATGTTGTACTCCTTCTAGAAGATAGAATGATGTTATGCAGTACAGATGTTTCCCTAGAAAGAATACCAGGCAGCTGATGGCATGGAAAACACATAACTAGACACAGATGAAAAAAAATGCAGAAGACTTCATGCCCTTTAATTGGTCTCACTTTTGGAAAGGGTCCTACAGTTGCTTCTCTAAATTAGCCCAACATATTAATAGCCTTTTTCAGAATTCTTCAGTCTGGTTCCCAGAATACTTTGTGAGGACTTAGTCTAATCTAATAGTGAAGAAGAACACAGCAGTTTATTGCTAAGAGCCCAATCTTGCACTTAGTAAAGTCAGTTAGTTCCAGAATCCCCTGTAAGTTCAGCATGAAAGGGATGTAAGTAAAAAACCACCAAAAATACTGCATCATTTGGGTTTAGCTGTGTTTCTTCAGTCTTTTCAGAGTGCTGCTTTGTTCCCCTCAAAAAAGGAAATTCAGGTTGGCCCCTGCTAAGAGGGAGGACATGGCTACTGAACAATAGCCAATACTTTCTAAGGGAAGGGTCGTCTGTTCCTGCTGGACTCAGTGGTAAACTCTCAGTGACATCACCAGGGCAGACCTCTGCCCAAAAGCCTTCATGGGGGCAATAGGAAATAAGTAGAGAGTTTGTGAGGTGGCTTATAGGGGAACATGGAAATAAATCAAGCCACTTCCCCAGAAACAAACATTATTATAACATTCCTCCTGAAGTATGTTCCTGTCTTGCAAGCAGCAAAGAAATGCAAGTAAGACAATGTTATGATGCAGTTTATAGCTAGGGAAGGTCAGACTGACCTGCTGTTTTAGTACCTGGGCTAAGGAAGCCCACACTTGGTATTAGGCACCTGCAATAACTGAATACAATACCATGTTCAAAGGCTTAACTGTAAATCTCCAGGTTTTTCGAGCTTAAATATTAAGACTTACCTGCAAAGTTAATTGGCTACATTTTGTGCATGTATATATATTAAACCGCTTTATATTTAAACATTAACAATGAAAAATTAAAAAATAAAAGCCCCTTTGCAATTAAACTATGTGGTACCAGTCTAAAATCAGTTTTACAGTTAAAAATAATAAATTTGGTTGTTTCATTTCCTTCCTTCTGTAATGAGAGACATCTGGGTAATATTCATGCCTTGATAGCAAGTAAACCAAATACAAATATATATAAAATATCATGATTAACCAAGGAAATCAGCGAGGAAAATAAATGAATACGAGAGTGCTCTCTACACAGAGCCAGCATAAGTCCAGCAGAATTTAGTATTTTAGTTACTGCTAATAACAATTTACCTGTACTGTACTCAGGCTTCAAGAAAGAGGCCTAGTTCAGTACCTGGAAGCAACTGCTGCCACACGATGTTTGTGTGGCATGTACAGTATTCTGCATGATATGTTGATCATGCTATGTTGTTACAAATGTAATTTAAAGCTCTTCAAGTAAAGTGGGTTAATTATTTTCCTTTCTATTACAAAGAGAGGAAACAATACAAGAGAGGGTGTCTTTGCCAGAGATCAGTGGCAGAACTGGAAATAAAGTACACATCTCCAGAAGTGCCTGATTGTAGAGTCTTTCCATTTAAAATGCTTTTATCACAGGGTAATTCCACTAATGCCAATCAAATAAGGCTTCACTGAACTTCTGTGAGAGAAGAATCAAGCCTCAGGCTCATAGTCTGGACACTAATTATTCTCCCTACCTGTTATACTACAGTCCACGCAGTTGATGGAAGGCCTTTTGAGGTTTTGGCTTTTTTGGGTTAAAGGAAAAAATATGATGAAAACTTAAACATGAGCATCCATATTTTCCTTCTAAGCAGCAGCACCTCTGGAACCACTCTTACTAGAGCTGCACAGCATGAGATCCCTCATTTTCTCCAGCTCTGACCACTTTAGTTTTTCAGAGCCTTCAAACATTGATTGATGACATGATGGCTCTCACTGCTGCAGAGGAACCAATGCAGCACATTACACACTCAGTATATACAATATTTATGAAAGTTCTAATATAAGCATCCTTGAGTATGCAATCCTGCTATCTGCTGAAGTTCTCAAGATAGTTCTTAAAAAGGACTTCTGATGGATGCACCTTTTTTCAAGGTTCAAATGCCAGGAGGAAGTAATTGTAATAGTGATAGACAACAGCGTACATTGATCACACTGAGCATCATCCATAGTTTTGCTGAAGTCAATAGGATTAATTTCTTTGATTTTAGCCTGATCCTGGGAGGGAAGAAAAGCTGCCATTGATCTGAACTGCTGTTAGATTTGACCTATACTACAGGTAGCTTTTTACAAGTACCTCATAGAAACTGATGAATTAGTTGCATTCTGAAGCTGGGATAGACTCTCTTGTATGTGTTATGAACCATCCACTAGTGTTCTGAAATACTACAAGTGACAATGCAGCTACATGGGATATACAGCAGGTGTCAATGGGAGACCCTCACACTTGATGCCAATTTGGACTTACCTAATTGACTTCAAGGCAACAGAGATGAATTATCAGTACTGGGCCTTTCTGTGGCGCTATCCCACGCTGGAACCCCTTGGAAATTAAAGCAGAAATAAAAATGTTTGTTGTTTTTACAGACTTCCAATATTCAGAATACTTCTTCTGCTTGGCTTTAAATCTGCCATTTCAGAGCACACTGCACCGGGGTAAAAGGCACAATTTCTACTTCTGATCCCGGTTTTCCCAATCTACATTGACAGCCAAATTGCAAACCTTTGGACACAGGCATTTATGGAGGAACTACTGGTACACCTTTAGCCAACACCATAAACCCCGCTTGTAACACAAGTACAGCAGCAGTGAAAGTGATTCCCATTCTGTTTGCAATTCAGCCACGCGCAGTAACAATGCTTGTTCCCAGTGAAATGTAAAAAATAAAACAGGGTTTGAAGTTACCCAGCATCTCTGGACATGAGAGATTCTCTCTCTGGAGAATGGCATAGGAAAAGAGGCCAATCACAACAGCACAATTCCTTTGAAGCTCCTCTGCTTTTTGGAGTTAATTAAAAGTTGGCTGAGTGGTTTTCCTCCCCCTTTTTTCCTGGGTGTCTCATCTTGAGCCTATATGGCAGGTGTTGCGGAGCAAGTCTCAGCAGCACCACTGGATACCCTTACTTCCTTGCATTTGCAAGTATAACTTAATCTCCTTTAAACAGTGATAGCACATAGGAAAGACTCTGACTTGGGCAGATACCAGGACAACTAAAATTACCAGACTGTATGTAAACAACATGAATTGACCGGCAGTAACCTCAGCTAGAACACAATTACAATCAGTGTTTATAAATAAGGAGTTTCTGTCAGGACAGTAGATTTGTATTTTTTAATATAAGGCTGAATTAAGTCTGTTCTAAGACCACAGTGTTGTCCTAGAGCTGCCTAGCAGGCCTGCTTTGTGGTCCTGTGCCCTTGTTTCTAACTATTGTGGGGTCAGTTCACCTCTCCTCATCCTGACCAGTGCTGAGGAGGGCAGAGAGCTGTGGGCTGGATCCCAGTGCTCCCGTTCCCTGTTGCTGAACTTGGTGTGGAGGCAGTGTAGGTTTGAGAAGCACTTTAAGGAGAGGCTTGACACTGTAATGAGTTGATGGAGAGCAGAGAGTAGATACTACTGCATTAGCTCTACTGCCACCATATTTAGTTTTCTTCAGCAACTAAAAGAGCTGAAAACTTATAGCTTAAACAACTGAGATGTTACTGTTCCTGTGACTCCAGAAACCTAGAGCCTCCAGTGCATACAGTTAAGCCAGACCTGTTTGCTAAAAGGTAATGAAGGTGCTCTTCTGCACAGTTCTCGTGCTGTAGGGGCAGCACAGAAGGAAGCCCCTTGGGCACATGTGCTCGGGTGCACTATGGGCTTGAGGTGTTAAAATCTAACAGCAAAAGACTTAATCACTGAAATTAAGAATTAACCAGTATCCTTTTAATCATGCTAAATATTAGTTTTGCTGCTGCCTAGGAAGTGAAAAAGTGTTTCCTGGTAATTTTACAAACACTGACCATCTTGCAATGAAAATATTCACACATAAATAGATACTTTGTAATACAGCATAAACATACACGATGGCAGATCAGGCTGGTCATCTTGCAGTTCCCTAAGATCAATTTACACAGGAAACACAGATCTGTGTTTCATTATGGAGTAAGAGTTTTATCTGTTGGAAAGAAAAACTAAGCTACTATACTGAAAGTCTCGATTTTAAAGCTCTGTTATGTTTTATGAGGTATCCCTGCTACTGTAGCTAATGTCTCTCTTGATCTGGTAGTATAACTACCAGGTGTCTGAATACCACAACATTTTGAGGAAACACCAGAGAAATAATTTTCTCATTAGTGTGCCCTTTGATTTGTTTGCTACATAATTATGACTCGTCATATGATATAGGTTGATACATACTTCAAAGTGCATATTCCATATATTTGGTTAGCTCTATGAAATGGCAGGCTTAATATTAGTTACATGTAAAAATAGGCTTTCTTTTTATTTCTTTCTAGATTAACTTATCAGGTAAAAATCAATATTTTAAATTAAATGATGAAATATTTTAAATTTACCTTTAACAATCCCCTTCTGTGTTTTGCTCTATGTACATGAATGAATTCTTCCCCTGCTGTCATTGGGAATTGTGTAAATACAAAAGGAGGAGTGAGCCAAATTCTGCCATGGAGAATTTAGAAGAGAATTTTATTCTTCAAGTACTCCCTTATTCAAATATTTGAATAGAAACATTGTGTAATGTGTACTCAGGAAACACTGTATTGATTTCAGTAGGTGTCATGCAGGACTGTAAGCAATCGTGCACTAAAATAAACTTATTTTTGGAGATGACATCTTCAAACTTGCTTTCTGGTATGTCAGGAATCACTTTGCTATGCCTGCAGTTGATGTTTCAAGTGAAAATAATAGTCTACACAAAAGTCTGTTGAAGAGCAGAAATAAACAAAATTCCAGACTCTGTCTGTATGTGACACATAGAGAAAAACACAGAAAAATCGTAAAGGCAGATAAATGATGTGCAACATGTCTACAGTATTGTTATAACTGACTCAGTCATAATCCTCTCTTTGAAATGATAGCTCACTGTAACATGAGTTGAATAAATGTTGTTTGCAATTTACTGCACAGTAAGCTACTGCTGAGAAAGTAAACAGGAGGCAGAAAGAAACATGCAAAACCAAGTTTGAGGTTAATTAATTCCTCGAGTTATCTGGCAGTTGTTTGGCTCTGTGGTTTTATAAAATATACTGAACTAAAACCGGGACACAAGCTGAGAAAAAAAAGTGGACCTACCTATTATTGTTATTATTTACACAAACACCAACACATATACAATGAAATGCAGGCACAAACATTGACTATTTCCTCCCACTGGTAAAGCCCCTGCAAACTGGATGATGGTGTAGTTTCTAATTTTAAGTAGATCACAGAACAGAGGCAGATGGATTAACTGAGATTTCAGGCAATACTAATTCAAACACTTGGGCTATGTTTGAAAATTTAACAGAAATGTATTCTTTCTTGTTGTTATGACTCTGTTCTGCTTCTGTGGAGTTATACCTAGGAACAGCTTTTTCCCACCTTTACCAGTGGCCCTTGGCTACCTTCAACAGCACGTGCATCTGGCATCCCAAGTAAAACTACCTAATAGAAAAATGCAACATCTGCTAATTTTCTTGGATTTCTGTGTTCTGCAGCTCTCAAGAAGCAGACTTCCCCCTCCCCCTCATTTTAGACAATTTCTTATGTTTTTATTTTACTTTGTCTGAGAATTTGGTAAAGACTTCTCATGAATTAACAGAACTACATCCAATATTTTTCTGTCTGAGAACGAGTATGAACAAATGCATTCTTTGGCTAAAATAAACTGCTGACATCCAATACATGCATAATGTTCCATGGGTCAGAGCAAGAGCTATGCAACACATGTGGTTGTTTTCTGATTCCCTTAAGTTCGATGGAATTTTGTGAAAGATAAAAGTAGAGCATTTATATATATTTATATATATATATATGCACATATATGTACATATATATATACACTTTTTGCTCATTTGGGTAGAGGAAATCACATTTAAATAACTGTGTAGTCTACACATACTTCTTTTTTGCTAGATTTTCAGCTAAGTTGTAGCATCAGAAGTTTCAAAAATATAATTTCAGTATAAGAAGTAAAATGTTAAAAATAAGGTTATCTCCTTTCGTATATCACTGTATAAGAATGTTAGGTGTGCCAAAGTGTTTCTTGGAAGCAGCTCACTAATACATGACACAGAAACTCTCTGTGCAGAGGGAAAATGAGATTTGGAGTCTTTCATGTGGGATATAGTAACTGAGCAATGGAGTATCTTGGAGGTTTAATTGTTTTATTTTTAATTTTTTTTAACTAGGGTCAGTGAGACTCCAGGGTGGCAAGAATGAGTATGAAGGTACAGTGGAAGTTTATTTGAATGGAATCTGGGGAACAATCTGTGGGAGCCATTGGGACAATAATGATGCAACAATTGTATGTCGACAGCTTGCACTTGGGTAAGTTTCGGAGTAAAAATCAGTCAACTTATTTTTAATGTTTCAGTATGGAGGACAAACTATTGTGTAAATCCTCAGGGCTTTTTGCGTTTGATGGTTGCTTTTTCTGTTTGAAAGCTGTTAAATGCTGAAGTTGTTCTCCCCAGAATCCTTCGCGTTACACTTCAAAGAGGTTGCTGTGATAACCAGTATTTCATCAGAAAACTGCATATGGCACCTGGACAGGAGCAGACCAGGGCAGATGCTCTGCTTTCAAAGTGAAATGTGTGAGCAGGTCAAAAAAGCTTAGGGCAAACAAAAACTGCTCACTTAGACATTTGGGAGATGTCCACAAGGACAGAAATATGTTGTAGTCTGATCCTGATCTCACATATGTAACTCTCAACTAGGAGTGAGACTTAGCTCTAGTGAGGTTATTGAATCAATAACAATGTAGTTGTGGCCAGAATTAGACTCTACATGGGCTCCTAATCACAGGAAAATTCCTGGTTCTCAGGAGCCTGGGACTACCCTGGTAATCATCCATTCTATCCTGCCAAAAAACATCTGGGACTCATCCTAACTTTTTGGAAAATGGCAACATTATAGCAGTATTGGACAGGTTGAAAATCTCTGCGTTGTCCTCACTGAGCTGCTGCCAGAATGGAGTTAATCAAAAGGACACCTGAACATAATTTGTCTGGCTTTATTGCCTTTATAATATTTCTTTCACTCCTATAGCAAAGCAGTGATTTTGCTTGCTACAAGCAGTAAGGGGCTTTTAGAGCAGACTTGCACTGTGACATTCCTCATGATTACCCCACTTTTTAAGACCGCTAGGCAGAACTAAACCTAAGCTGGTTTATAATGTTCAATACTAATCTGGACACACCACGCCAACTTATAAAAATATGAGGATTAGATGAGATAAAAGTTCAGCCATCTGGAGGCTGTGATTTTGCTTATGACTTCAGCTGTCTACGTGCACTGTCTCCCTCTCCTCATTTTCACGTAAGTTCTTTCTGCTCCCATACCCTGAACCTTCAGCTGAATGAGAGTGCTCTTAGCAGAAGCAGATCAGCAATACAGGTGAGTGGTTTGGTGTTGTCAACAGAAATGGGTTAAAGCTGGACCCAGGCCAAAAAGCCCCAAGCAAACAGGAGCTGAAGTTCCTGTTATCATGAGTGTCTGGCAGAAATTTGGACCTAAGTACCACCAGGTGAACTCATATGTATTATTGGTGCTTTTCAGGTGCTTCCATCCATCTGTTCCTTTGATATTACAGTATTTGGGCTTTGCTTTAATTTTGTTGGGCTTTATATGGAAGAAAAGATGGCTCCATAAATGCTGCTGTAGATTTGCTATGGGAAGGAAATGGAGCTGTTTATAAATGTTCTGGATGGATGGGAATGGTCGAAGAGAGAAAAATGGATGTGGGCTTGATCTAATGGAGGACGAGGTGGTTTCCCTGTCCCATCATCACAACCACAATATATGACATAGATGGGGACAACATTGGTATGTTTTCATGGACTAAAGGAGAGGATAAGGGTGAAAGGCCTGGTGGCATTAACTCTCCTGAAAGTGTGACTGCAGGGCTGGTACTGTAGATTCACCTGTGGACTCTGTTGATTTTTGTAGTTCAGAACTGAGAGAACAGGAATGTAGTTGGCCCTGCAGCAACACAATCATTGTACTAGAATATCCCACAACAAAATGGTGAGAACTGGGTCACATCTGTTACTTTTCTTTGTGCAGAAAACAATGCTGAACTGTATGAAAATGTGATGAATTTACACTACTGAAGAAAGCCCTTTCTTTCCTGCTCCAAGATTTATAGATGAGAAAATGTTCCCACTTCCCTTCCTCCCACTCTAATATCCTATCCTGATTATTCTTCTCACAGTGAAAAAGGTACAGCGAAACACATACCATTTTCTGGACTGGGCCTTATTCCTGTTTTCTGGAGTGAAGTGCGTTGTCGTGGTGATGAAGAAAATATACTGTTATGTGAAAAAGACACCTGGCAGGATGGAACATGTCCTCAAAAAATGGCAGCTGCTGTCACATGTAGCTCCTCCCTGGGTAAAAAAATACATATGGTTTGCGTAACTCCTTCTCTTATTTAAATAGAAGTAGTAGGAATTACTCATTATTAAATTAGAAAAAAATATTAAGATTTCTTGGAAGAGAAAATTAAACAGATTGAATCACCACATCATTAACTGCTTCAAATACCTCTATGCTGTGCAAGGAGCAACTAGCTTAACAACTTTTTACCTTTCCATGATCTACAAGCAAATTGCTGCTTTGAGATGTAGCTTGTGAGAAGGGGCGCAGTAGCAAGAATCTCTGGCTGTAAAAGTAGGATTGTATCTCCCCACATTTTTTTAATAGGAAAAAAAGTATCATTAATGTTTTTAAGATATTTCAGATTATTTTAATCAACATGCTAAAAAGCAACTAAATGGGCACTTATGCCCTCAGATTTAGGATATTGCTGGCCTCGAGGAAGGCTGGGCTGGTGGTGCTGGGGAGCTGGCAATGGCAGCGTCTTCAGCTGTAATCAGAACATGTGGCTGCAGCCAGTTCTGTGCTGCCTTTCCTCTCCTACTTACATTCCTATCCAAAAGCAGGTGCATTTCTGTCCTAATGCTCTCCTATTAATGAGTAATATTTTGATAAATGACTTTTAAAAGAACATTTTGGTCTTAATTTAGTAGGAAACTGTAGAGTAGAGGGAAGGGAGAAGCTTTTTTTTAAGGTATGAGACAAGCTGAAGGACCAAAGCAAGAGAAGTAGTTTTGCCTAAAGAAACTGAAAACTATAAATGTTTTCAAGTTTTTGCAGGTTCTATTGCAACTCGCCTTTTTGAATAATTGCAAAAAGCCCCAGATTTCATATCAGTGAAACAGTAACATGCCCTTAATTTTCTTTTTTGAAGCCAAGAAATAGATGAAATAGTAGAATTAATTGGTTGGAAGGCTACACAAAAATTATTCACATTCAAATCATTCATATGTTAGATATGGGGAAACTTTAAAATAACCTTGTTAATATTAGAACAATTGTGGAGGGTTTATGTGGCTTTAAGCTGTTTCCTTTATTATAGCTTTATGCAGAAGTGATGCTTTCAAGACAGTTTCTTGGTGCACCAGAAGAGAGCTATTGATTTGAAAAACCCAGAAACAGGAAGTGGACAATTAAAGTGAGACTCCAGTCAAGGAGGTTTTCACTGCTCTGACTGGAATTAGCAAAGGAATGAGAGAACAGGAGGATGAATTACTACTTCCATGTCAATGAAATAATTTTTGCCTCTTACTTCAGATTTTACCCTCTGGGAGCAAGCCTATACAGAGGCAATTTTGCTCTTACTGGTAGAAGTGCAGCTCTACAGACTGATTTAGTATTTGGCCTTACAGCACTAAGTGTCTATGAATGCTCTCACACGTAGGTAATTCAAGATCAGTATAGTTGTATAATAATACCTGTCTGTACTATTCTTCAGCTAGTGACAGTGGAGCTGAGGGGAACTCATTTCTAAGAAGTTTATATTCAGGTTTTCCATCTAACTAGAAAAAATAAAGTGTGGTTCTGGAGTGATGTCAGAGAAACCATTAAGCACCTTCCTTTTTCTTTACTATCAGGATTCTATTTTGGGAAATAAATGACCTTTTCCATATTCTGTGTTGGATCACAGCCCCCGTCTTTACTCCGATCCGGCTGGCTGGAGGGAACAACGCCCACGAAGGAAGAGTAGAAGTCTACCATGGTGGCCAGTGGGGGACAGTCTGTGATGATCAGTGGGATGACGCAGATGCTGAAGTTGTCTGCCGGCAGCTTGGCCTTGGGTTTGTTTTTCTACATGTTTTTTATTCCAGCAGCAAAGCAGGAGAGTTACCACACACACAGCTGAAGCTAGGAGAAGTGTAATTGTAAAAAATGCTCCTTTAAAACTGCACTAATACCATGAGGCAGTCACTAAGTTTATTTATAGAAGGTTTAGGTACAGTGCCATTACTTTTAATTCCTTGGAACTCTGATTTACAGGATCCAGTTTTTAGTGTCATATGATAGGGACAGTTTTGTCTGTAGGTCAGACAAAAAATGTGTCTCAGAATAAATGTTGACTTCTTAGTGAGAACTCACTAGGATTCCTATAAGGTTTCAACCAAAACACATAGGTGATGAAAAGGAATTTGGCTTCACTGTTCCAATCCTTACTGAAGAGCCTGACATCCTCCTTGCTTTGGCGTTAAGAGTGCTCCTTTGTCAGAGAGGATGTGTTTTTTTGGCGTACCTGTGAGCATCTCTCAAGATTTGTTTAAATCACGAGTCTCTGAAGATTGTCAGTTTGCATATATTGAGGTAGAGATCTTTTGAAGTTTTGACAGTTAAGCTTGTCAGTGATTGAACTGAGCATGGGCCAAAATACAGCCACAGCAGCCAAACAGGATTTTCTTGCTCCTCTTCTCAACAGCCAGGGGTGATTTTGATACCACACAGGAGAGTATTCAGTATTGGAGGGAAGATGCTGCAGGAGTGGGAGACAGAGGAGAACTGCTGAATGAGAGAGGAAGGAGGTGGGGATAATTGGGATGAAAGGCCAGATGGCTTGAAGAGGGAAAGAACTAGGAGCAAGAGGCAGAGAAGCCACTAAGATGTATCCCAAGGAGGAGAAGGGGATTATGTCTGAGACAGAGTGGATGAGAACTAAGCAGGTAAATGTAGAGGAGACTGGAACAGAACTCGCCTTTTAACCCTGCTGGGATTATGATGAGTTGAAAGAAGTGGCATTGTAGGCAGCAAGCTTGGTGGCATTCATGGGTGGCCCCCAGAGTGTACTTATTTTGTAACTGAGGCCTTGGGCTGCCCGTACCACCCAAATTAGCCCAAAAGGATGAGAACTGCAGTACTTAAAAAGCTACTAGATCTCCCGGGGAGCCATGTGGGAACCAACATGCTCTTCTGACATCATTTTTATTTTTCCCCAGTTTATTTTATGCTGTATTTCTATATGCCTCTAAATTTTCAATTGGGAATACCTAATGGAAAGTCTCTCTTCTTACAGGCTTTTCCTGCTTTTGAATTGGGCCACTATTAATAGGTTTGAGGAGTTACTAAGCTCTGCTTTGCATTTCTGTATAGTAATGACAAGTGTAATGCTCTTAACCTGCCTCTTTGCTGATTACACTAAAACTTTTGATTACTTATATTTAATGATCAGAAATGGCAGTTCTGAGAAGCTTCTAATTTGATTCATTTTTCCGAGTAAATAAATTGTATTAAGATGGTGCTAAGTCTGCTAAGTCTCTTTGAAACATGTCTGGAGATTTACAGAATTTCTTAAGTAAGCAAGATGTCACAACACATGTGCTCGTTAATATGAAGTGAAATTTTACCAACAGTGGCAGTAGACTGGTTCTGAAGTACTAAAAATAATCTAAATTTGCATACTGTTAATCCATCTGGAAACATGGCAGAAATCATAAAATCATAAGTAGCTTCCCACACCCCTTCAATTCTTCTGCAGCACTTCTATAAAACTTCACAGTATGAATATACCATTAATAGGTGAAAAATAATGAAAATTTATCATTTTTATTTCATAAATATGTTTTGCTCAATACAAATTCCCCTTGTTATAGTAATGGGATGTTTTGTCTCTGCTTTATTGGAACTCTGCACTTTAGTAGATTATGGTATAATTTGTTTTCAGCAGTCAAAGTAGTGAAGCATTATCTCTGATTTCAGCCAGCTTCTTAACAAATAAGGATTTTTTTTCTAACATTTTCTATACATTTGTACCAAATACACTGGAAAACAAATATGTTTTTATTTACTTAGATGCTTAAATATAAATGGGATACCAAGATTTGAAGTATTTATTACCATCAGTGTATCCTATGGATTATATTTTCTTAGCTTACTATATAGTTGTTCACACTTTCAACCACTTTGAAAAGCAAGTCTTTAGGAAATATGAGAGATGAAGGACTTGTCTCTTTTTCCCATTACCAGCATTGCAAAATACCATTGCTCAGTAAATTAATGCTGCATATAAAGATGCATGGCTACTTATCAAAGTATATGGAAGAATAGTAAGGGCAATCAGAAAATGTTTTCAAATCTCAATGAAAAATATAATTTCCAATCTATTAAAAATTTTCATGGCATTGTTAAAGGAAAAACAGAGCAAGAGGTCTGTTAGTATGTTATTTGGAATTAGGAAGGTCATTTGGAAGAAAAGGTAAGGTCTAAGGCACTAACTTCAGACTGAAGCTATGTGTTTTGCTAAAATGTTGCCTGCTGTGTGTCTGAGGGTATTTTTGGCCCTGAAAACTGTATGTTACTTAATTTAAGCTAATCATTTAGATAGGTAAATCATTACAGTAAAAAATTCAGACAGGCATTTTAACTTTGACATTTCAAACTAGACTGAATATATGAACAGAGGAACCACTGAGTGGAAAGAAACCAAACCATGACAAACATCTACATATGAAAGACATGGTATCTTAAATAGAATTAGAAAAACCCTGATAGATCATCAAGTGTTAAACACTGCATAATTTCTGTAATGCTGAACGGGAGTGTTTTCAATTTCTATAGCTTGTTGTGCTCAAAATCCTCCATGCTGACACAGAATATACCCCACACAAGGCTAAGGTCTGCTTTCTGTTCTTATTTCCACTGCTGACTGGTTGTCAAGTCACTTAAGATCTCTTTGCTGTGGTTTGTACATGACTAAATGTGGAACAATCACTTTTATCTGCCTCATCTGGGTATTTGAGATTTGATTAATGTGCTTTGAGGACAACAGATGAAAGTCACTGTAGAAATATATATCGGATTACTTTTACTACGCATAAACATTAAATTAAAATTAAAATTAGAATCCTCATACCCAAGCTGTACATCTATAATCTCCTCTAGGAAAGTTAAAAACCAAAAGGCAGAGAAAAGGAAAATCTTCAGCATGCTTGTTCTTGACTGGGTGTTCCTGACATTTCGACAGGGGTGTTGCCAAGGCGTGGGGCCAGGCTTACTTCGGAGAAGGCTCCGGCCCCGTGCTGCTGGATGAAGTGCAGTGCACGGGAAACGAACTGTCCATAGAACAGTGTCCAAAAAGCTCCTGGCGAGAACACAACTGTGCCCACAAAGAAGACGCTGGCGTTTCCTGCACGCCTCTCACAGGTACTTCAATTACCAAAAATCACACAGAAAAGCAGGGACAAATGCAGAGTTCACAGCTCTGGAAAGAGAACCTTTAAAGTTTGCAGATGCACAAAACCCCACAGTAATTAACTGTTCTGGCAGTATCACAATGAACCTGCTGTTGGCTACGGATAACAGGTACGGAAAATCTCATTATTCAAAATAAGGCCCTGATTCCTCAGTAATGTGCCAACTGCCACTTACTCTGTGGGGCATTGCCTCAGCTGGGTATCACATCTGCCAGTGGCAGTAAGCCCGTCAGCATGCAATCAGTGGGACGTAACAGGATACAAAGAAAAAGATAAGGTGTACATCAGTGAAACTGTGTAATCTGAGCCCACTCCTGTGGACCTGGCGTGTAATAAGGGCCTGGGGGATCGATATCTTGTGCTATTCCTTGTGCACTTAAGCAGTTACATTAAGCAACCCTTCGCAGCTGAGCGGGTGCATTGTGGAATTCCTGTCATCTCCTCGAACCACACGCAGGGATCAGCACTAAATGCAGGAGTCTTTTATTCGGCTCGGATGCAGTAAACCCGATGGTACTGATTTTGGTTTAGAACAATAACTGGACCTAAGAAAAACTGATTCCTGTTTTTGTTTTTCCTCGCTCATTAACGACACAGATGGTGCACTAAGACTCACAAGTGGGAAAGGCAGTCACGAGGGACGCCTGGAGGTCTATCACAGTGGGCAGTGGGGCACCGTCTGCGACGATGGGTGGACAGAGCTGAACACGCAGGTGGTTTGCCGGCAGCTGGGATTTAAGTAAGATTACTTGATATTGGATATCTGGCTCCGTGACTTGACAATGATGACAAACATTTACATGAACCCTACATGGACCCTACTCAGGACTCTTGTTTTTTAATGTTAGCTGAGTGCTGCATAGAAACTACTGAGTTAAAATCCACTAAAGCCTGCTCCCCACAGTGTTAAAGAGGTATTTATGGCCTCAGTTTAGGTAGAAAAAAAACCTTCAACAGATACTGTAATTCAGCAGCATTTATGCACCAAGTTCCTTCCAATCATCTTTCTGGCTGAGGTCAATGCATATGCTGTAGAGAAAAACCGATTTTGTATTCTATTTTGCCTGTTAAAGTTAGATTCTTCTAAATCTTTGCCTGCCATACAGTCATTAAAAATTACAGACATTTTCAAGGTGTAAGTCCTTCTGCACTACCTTATTAAAACCCATAGCCTAGCCCTGGAGCACTGTTATGTATTGTAAAGCCTATTTTAGAAAGATCCCATTAGAGCTTGATGAATTCACTCTTCACTACTTTTCCTACTGACTGTGGCTACAAAGATGCACACTCACTAGGTGACTGTTGTCTTGCCTTCAGATAGTAACAGCTCACATTCAAAAAAGGATTTTGTCTCATTTTCTCCAGACTGTGACATTTAAATGTATCTATAATACTAAGAATATGCTATAAGCCTCAAAGTCAGTGCGAGCCATATGCCTGGCTGAAGAGAGGCTTTAATCAAAGGTATTACATTCTTAAGTTTGTATCAATGCAATAGTCATTCCTTAAAAAAAACCATTACCAAAGAGGGGGCAGGTGGTGCTCTCCTTGAATTTAATGCTAACTGAACCTGCTCTGTCATAGTTAACACTGTTTACAGTTAATGCTTGTGAAACCTTTATTTCTTCAGGAGTAACTAATTTCCTTTCTAGTGCTGAAGCACCACAAGTCCTCTGCTCAGTGTGGACCAAAACATTGCGTATGTGTTGTGCAGGTATGGAAAAAGTGCAGGTCTGGAAAAAGAGAGCTCCTCAGAAGGGAGCTCTGGGCCCATCTGGCTGGACGATGTCAGCTGCGCCGGGAAGGAGACAAACCTTCTGCAGTGTTCACGGAGGGAGTGGGGAAAGCACGACTGCAACCATCAGGAGGATGTCAGGCTCATCTGCCATCCAGATAACGACAGCCACAAGCTCTCACTCGGTAAGGCAGCTCTTTGGTGAAACTGTGGTATGAGTTTTGCTGGATACAGATCCCAGCAAAGTACAGGACACTTAAGGGTGCTCAAAATCCTAGTATTTGTCAGATGTGTGCAGAGAAGGAACAGGAAGGGAAAATCCTCACTATTCTCATGAAGATCACAGGAAGTAATCCAGCTTTGTTTGGAGGAACATAAGCAGCCAGAACATTAAAGCTCAACACAGATTTGCATGGCAAATTCCAGAGATGCTGTTCTCTCAGTCTTCACGAGATTTTAGACCTATCCTGCACTTCCTTATGGTATAACTAAGTTTACTCAGCAGTCTCCAGCCTCCAAGGAACTTTCTCCTGATGTCAAAAGTTGGAGACATACCTGAGCACTATTACTATTACAGTAGTGTTACTATTGCCTACCATTCACATTGTGTCTGGGTGAATGGGCCCCACTTGCTGACCAGAACAGAATGATACTGCACACACAGATAAAAGAGTCAGTTCCAGTGTCAAAAGCCTAGAAACTTGTATGAAAATAAAAAGAATAAAAAGACTGATAAGAAATGATAGAAAAATACCAGTTACATAGTGAGGTTGTAGAACAAAATATATACAAAAAAGTTCCAAAGATTCCTATGTAGATAATTAAACAATCATTCTGGCTATGCACAGTAGAAACTACAGGGGAACAATGGGTTGCTCAGTAGTTGTGAAAAAGTTTTTACAATTTGCTACACGAAGTTTGTAGCTTGTCAGTATGTTGCCTTCTAGAAAATTGCTGCCAATATTATTTAGTTTACCCCAGAATATTTTAGTTGATTTTGAAATTAGAATGATAACTAGTGGAGTTAGATTCCCAGCTTCTGCTGAAACGTAGTGGAACTGTGTGCCTGGGTGCCTGAAGTTCTCTGGAAATCATAGACTGAAGGTCTATCCCACAAACCACGACACGGATTTACTGCACGATGTTGCTACCTGTTATAACAACAGTCAGCACTTCCACATGTACTTTTGTAGTCTCTCCCTCTTTATAGCCTTTTTCTTTGTAGCCTTTAGACCTCTCACCATCCAGTGATAATGCTTTATGTTGCAGTACAGTTCCATTATGTGTAGATGATGTCAAATCATATTTGGTGGAAAGAATTTTCTCAACCCCAAAATAACAGGAATTCAAATCATGACTGCTGTCTTTACAGATGCAAACCATCTGTGCTGCTTTGCTCAAATTCCTATAAAATATAATCTCAGCTGAAGGAGGTCTGGTTCAGTTAAATACATCCATATGGGAACATTCTCACATCCCCCATTACCAGACTGTTATATTAATTTTGTGCTCATAAATATATATATATATTCTAAGCCACAAGGAGATAACAATAAAGTATTATTAATATCCCATTCCTCTATGTGGTTAAGAGAAGTATAATTTTTACCTGAATTTTTATTCTTCCAGACTAACATCGGTTCAACAAAAAAATAAGACAGTTTATCCCTCATTTCCTAGATTTCTGATTGGAAAGTGGACAAAGACTCTCTTGTTACCATTTACTTCCTAGCATTTGAAAAAGCATTTTTTTCCCTGTAGGGAAGAATTCAGTGCAAAAATATGAGAAATTAGTAGATGATTTGACTTGAGGAAATACAGATATTGAGGAACACTGAAAATGAGGTAGAATACACTACAATAATTTGTTCAGTATGTAAGATCATGACAGTGTAGGTAAACAGGTTGGTGAAATTAATTAATGGAACTGCCCAGACAGTATGAACTCCAGTAGAAACAATATGCTTTAAATTACATGTCAAGCAAACAGACTTTGTTTTCAAATATTTCCTCTTTTAATTAATGAATTAGGCCATATTTAACCAGTGCTGACTCAGAATCTGGATTAATCTGAATTAAAAATCAAATGCAAATGTCTCAAAACACAGCTTTGTTTAAGAGCACCATTAAGTAATTTCTCATCCTTACAGATTTAGAGATTAGGAACAGGCTAAAAGAATGAGGAACAGTCTTTTCAATTATTCTAAAAAGCAACTCTCATGTGTGTATTAAAGATTATAAAGTATGGCATACAAAAAGATTTAGAGGGTGATTCTCACTTAAATGTTATAAAGAGGCCTCAGAGGAATTCATAGCTGTTTTAAGGCTACTTGCAGTGCTTGCATGCTGTAAAGGAACTGTAACGTGAGAGTTAAATATGTACTTTGCCTAATGATTCAAAATGTAACTACAGGCCAAGCAATGAACAAACCGTGATTAATTAACTCTGACTAATCCACGGAAGTGAGACTTCCTATTACGAACATATCTGAATTAGCAACAAATTTAAATTTCTAGAAAAGTAATCAGACATTAGTCTAGAATACCATGCTGCAGAACAGCATGTGTAACGATAAGGAACAACTGAAGTTTAACACAATACTGCACTTTTCGTGCTGAGACAGTGGTTAAGAGGAGCAGCAGCACCCAGTTTGAGAACGGATTCCTGAACTGAGGTACAGTTAAACTCACTCATAAAGTTTCCATACGGAAAAGCTGTCCAGCTTGTACAGGTATCATATCAAAGTATCTTGGGTGTTTTCTACCTTTACTTGGGGAATTGTTCTGTGCCCACTGGGGTCCATTTCTGAGCTATATGTATGAAATAAAGGAACCAGATAAACTCTGATGTTTAAAGTACAGTAGTATTTGATATTTGTCTTGCACTTTGGACAAACTGCTTCCTTTTGTCAGCCAGGAAAAATGCCTGCTTTAACAGCTGATATTGGGCTTGTTTCACATAAACATCAGTTGACCCCTTGTACTGGACTTAATGAAAATGACTTGAAGTACTTCTTGCTTCTGTTGTTGTGAGCTGACAGCAGTAATTTATTCCCAGGTCCTCCCATAAGGCTGATGGATGGTGAGAATAAGAAGGAAGGACGTGTGGAGATTTTTATCAATGGCCAGTGGGGCACGATTTGTGATGATGGATGGTCTGATAAGGATGCAGCTGTAGTCTGCCGACAGCTTGGCTACAAGTAAGAAAACTCATTAAGCTGTTTCTCAAGTTATCTGTTTGCTGTATCTACAAATGTTAAGTTTCTGCAACCAAATATCACAGGCATACCTGGTAAGGTAATTTATGCCTTTTAAAACTTGTCAATCTGCCATTCGTTTAGAAAAGTATATTTATACTATTTGTATAAAAAGTAGTAAGGCTGTGTCTTCAAAAGGAATATTCATTACCTACCAGAATTGGGAATAGGAATTTTAGCATTCAAAGGCATATCACAGTTGGTCTGGGAACAGAAATGCTAGTTATTAAATATTTTTTGTTGGAAATTAAATATTCCAAATTACTAAGACATAAATACTAACTTTTATTTGTCACATTTGTTTCAAAAAGCTCTTGATCTGTTTTCATTGAGAGGTATTATTCTGCATATTGTTAATATTTATCTTTTGTGAACCTTAATGATGACTTTGAAGTCCTTATCATGTTCAACATAACTGTTAACATTTTTAATGAAATAGAGCAACAGGTCAGTGTCCGCTGTCACAAGGTGTGAGTATGATGTCTGCAGATTCCAGGCACACCAGTGACTGAATTCCTAGTTTCATGGGTTTTTCCCCCTCATTTACTGATCTGACTTAATGTAGCTTGGAGATTTGATAAAACTGTTTATACAAAGGATTATGGCTTTGGCCTGCATGACAGTGATTTGAATAAGCTTCATTTAATACAGGAATAGATCTGACAGACAAACCCACCCTCTAATTAAAACCACTGCTATGTAGGTGTCACTTTTGAAATAAAGCACTCAATCAGGCTTACATTCGCTCATCAGCAGTTTTTTTCTGGATGCCCAAGAGCAGTAAAAATATAACAACTATAGGGCAGATATATAAATAGCAGAACTAATGAGACTTGAAAATCGTCCAGAACACCAATGAAATACAACAGGAAATTAGTGCAATGTCTTCTCTGAGTGTATTCCTAAGGAAATCTGAGCTGAAGAGATACAAATTGTGTTAACTCTTTGCTGTATCTAACAATGTGAAACTGGTGCAACCGAGTATCATCAAATTATATCTGAACACATTATATATGCCTTTTAAAAACTCTCTGGTATTCATTTAGTGAAGTGTATTTGAAAGCAGTAGTAGACTATGGCTTTAAAACTACAGAATGACTTACAAGTCATCTCTCGTACAAGTTACTTAACTTGTAATTTCTGTGATAGTTGGCCATCTATAATAATTCACTGGATTTCCTGATTAACAACATTATAAATGATGTTAATACTGCATGTGAAGAGCTCAGCATGTTATTGTGCATGGCCTTGTGTCTGAGAAAAGTGAGAAGGTAAGACCTGAAGCCACTCTTCTCTCTAGGGACAGATCTGAGCAGGCAAAAGGTTGTATCTCTGCTGGTCAGCAGTGCATAAATAGCTGGCTTGGAAAGCAGCAATTAAGGGACACACGTGTGTGTTAAGGGTGGACTAAAGCTAGCTGTAAGAGCACGGTCCAGTGCATTAACAGACACACAGACTTAACACGTGTACCTTTAGAGATCTCCCGATTATATAATTTTCTCTATTAAGCTGCACTCCCTGTTCTAGAACATCCTGATTTGTACATTTGTTTCCTGGTAGATGTTCTATTTAAACAGCGGGGGTTGGTTTGGGGTTTTTTGTGGTGTTTTTGGTTGGTTGGTTGGTTTTGGTTGAATGGGTATGCACACACCTTCCACAGGAATTATCAGCAAACTGAGAGATTATTGATGCACAGTAAGAGATAGACTTCTCTCATATAAAGCTAGGAAGAAGGACGTAGTGCCCTTATTAAGCAACTGGTAAGATTCTGCAGAGACAATTCTATACTAAACTGCAATAAATACTTCTGAAGGAAAGGCTAAGAATACTGTGGAGATTCACAATGAAGTAGTTTGCAATATCCTGAGGAACTTCAGAGCAATGCCCTAAAGCAGAAACTTTGTTATTTGACACAGAGATACCAAAACCAGGTAAGAATTTACAGCAAGTGCCTGCTCTATCTCACTGTTTTGTAATAGCATACAAGGACACATCAGCTGCCCACAGGTATCGGAGAGATGGACTTACTTTTTTTTGTTGATAGCTGTAATCAGAGTGTCACTCACAAAAGAAAAACATTTGCTTGTGACAAGTTAAATCATATTAAACTCATTAGGCAAAGACTGTCCTATACCGTTCCAAAGGCAGTTAAGGCTTTGGATTATCTGGTAAATACATCCCAGGCATGGAAATTAAAAATGTGTAAGGACAGTTGACCTTGTGGTATCGTCTGTCATATCTTTTACATGCTTCTCTTTCCTGGTTTTTTTTTGTTTTTTTTTTTTGTTTGTTTGTTTTGTTTTGTTTTGTTTTGTTTTGTTTTGTTTTTTTCAATTCATGCATTCTAACCAACATTCCCTAAATAGAAATCCTGCCCACCTACCCTTCAGTACATAGGAAAAAAATCCAAAAAGGCAAGGCTATTCAAGTGCAAGTTTGAAAAGGGAGGAAGCTTGTAGGTATTACTTGTAGGTATTACTATTTCAGATTTCATTGATATGGATGTAGCAATGGAGAGCTGGACTTGTTTTGATCCAGCCACACTTCTTGTACGACGAAGCCTTGAAAATGGTAAAACAAATGAGAATTCCTCCCCAACACACAATCCCCAGCTAATGAAGGGACACAGACCCTTTATGCCATTCTCACTTATCTTCTCCAACACTGCAGGTATTAAAGAGGTGTAAAAAGAGGTGTAATACATTTTCATTGTCAAATTCTTTCTCTGCTCCAGCATTTCATCATACCTGCAGTTACCCTTCTGTATACATAGAAGCAGTCCTTTACAATATACAATTATCCTTTAAAACGGAAACCTGTGGAATTCCATATATATTGTTATCCCAATATCAGTAAATTGCTCCTAACCAATAGGTAAACTTGTAGTTCAGGCACACCTAGAGGTGGCTGTGGCTTCCTGCCCCACTTCACTATATAGCTGGTTGGGTGGTTTCCCACCTGTAATTATTTCTGATTCTTAAACCACATATAACAAAATATCAATTTATAAATTAAGATGCATTATCCTAAGTATTTAGCAGTAATAACCTTTCACAAAAGTTACCAAATGAGATGCTTAAATGCTACACAAGCACTAAGCACTGGGTTCCTCCCAGGAAAAGGTGGGTGACGATACTGAACTAGGTTCAGTCTTGCTCCAACTACATGACATTTTTAGAACTCAGCTGTGGAGTGCACTTTAAAAGTGACATGATAATGAAATATATTGATAACTATTAACAACTAACAGATCTGTAAATCGTAGCTCCTACCACACTGCACTATTGTATTCAACTGGCTACTGTACACTGCTGTTTCCAACTGGCCCGTCTTTCTGAGGGAATCAGACCTGAACAAATTATTTTTAGCATTCACAGATGCTGATTTTATATGAGGATTAAAGAGATTATGAAAAAGCAGCTTTCACATATTTTGCTTTATAGCAAAATGTAATGCTGTTACAATGTAAAATACTTTGCACAGTGCCTTCTAACTAGATACATAAAAGCACTTTTAAAACATTAATGAACTGTAGCGATTTTGTTATTTTTTTCCCTACATACCAGAAGAACAGAGACAATGAGAAGGTGGTTTTAACAAGTGNGGCTTGGAATAAAATCTCGATGCCTTTTGCTACTCACTCAGAAACATTTGAATAAAATGCAGACTAATGCCTCAAAATGCTTAATAAGAAAAAATATGCTCTGTTTGCAGAGGTCCAGCTAGAGCAAGGACAATGGCCTATTTTGGTGAGGGCAAAGGCCCCATCCATGTGGATAACGTGAAGTGTACAGGAAGTGAGAGATCCCTGGCAGACTGCATCAAGCAGGACATTGGGACGCACAACTGCCGGCACAGTGAGGACGCGGGCGTGATCTGTGACCACCTCAGCAAGAAGGGCCCTGGCAACAGCAATAAAGGTGAAGCCCTGCTGGGAGGGGCAGCCCAAGGCTGGGTGGGGAACTGTCAGGGTAGGAAGAGACCGACTAAACAATCCCACCTCACGGAGGAAACAGTTATATCAGAAAGAATTACAGAAACGAAAGGGTGGGAATCCTGTGAGGTAGGCCAGGCTCTGCTTCCGCTAACAGGAAGTAAGGAAAAAACACTATAAAATCCTGCACTTGAGAAACAAATGTGTAAATGGCTCTGTGAACACAGTCAAAAGATTGCAGCTAAAAAGACTTTTTCAGTGTATTTTCCTCAAGCAAAATTTGGTATTTAAAAACTACCATGAAACACGGAGTAAGTTCAGCCTTTGTGTTTGGGGTTGTTTTTTTTTTAGTTAACTCTCACTGAAGACTGGCTACTTTTCATGTTGAGTTTAATGCTCTCTATACCCTTTCTGGTTTAGATTCTCTTGCCTCTGTTTGTGGACTGAGGTTACTACATCGCCGACAAAAGCGAATAATTGGTGGGAAAAATTCTTTACGGTAAATAACTGGTAAAGACAAGTAATTTTGAATATAAATCTTCTAAGACATGTATTTTACCATAAGTGGTTTGCCTAATTTACAACTTTATTGTAGGTTTGCTTTCTTTTCTTTTGGCTTGTCATGAGGTAGAAGCAGAAATATACTCAAAAGCAAATTTGGCATGAAATTAAAAAGTATTAATTGATAGATACTTGCAGCATTATTTGAAAATCTGTAGATGCTTATGGGTTTAGTCCTTGAATGGGTTATATTTTTAACTTAAAAATAATTACTTTACTTTTATCAAGTAAAAGGATGTGAGCTATACAAAGAGAGCTATGAATATAGTACAAGGTTTTACACTGAAAAAAAGGCCTGGGTATGATTCACTGCTAAGACTTGATTTTCTGCTACAAAATAAGCCTTGATGATGACATAGCTATAAACCCAGGAAGCATAGGCTTTATTTTCTTAACAGTTGTGAGTAACCTCAAAAAATACATATTCATACAATATCACAAAAGGCATTGCAAAAAAATCCACTTACATCTCACTGTACAACCTATTTCAAAGGACATGCACAGCACCAATCTATTTCAAAAAAGACACTTCCTAAGTGGAGGAGCTTCAAAGAACAGTAACAATAGGGAGCCCAGAAAGATATTTAAATGCATTCAGACAGAGCAAAGTAGGATGACTTACCTTAGTAAAGAGACAAATGAGGGTAACAGAAAAAGACTGAGAATTCTTATCTCAGAATATGTGCACTAAGGACAGTGGATGAAACAAAATGGTGACAAATAATGTACTGCACCATTCAGTCAGGACAAGCAAGCTGATCTCACAATAAATCAGTACAGGGATGTTAGATGTAGCAAAAATGTGAGAGAAATCCAATAGTGCACTTAGAAATGCTTCAAAAGAAGCAGCATTCAAAAGAAAAGGAACGTCCAAACAGTATCAGAAAAGGACTCATTGTCACAAGAAGTCATTAAGACAAAAAAATTGAAGCAAGTTTGAAAAGGAACTGGATACCCCATTTAAGAAAAACCTATTAAATCCAATCTTCCAAAAATAAAACCCGTCTAAACTGTTTTATTCTTTATGGGAAGCAAATTCCTCCACCTTACTTTAAAACATTTGGCACTTGCAATTCTCAGACAGGGTGATGGACTAGATGGTCCTGGCAGCTCTTGCCATCCAGCATACCTGTTCAAGCTGACAGGAGTCAGAAAACACCTAAGGCTACCTGTTGCTTACTCTTGGATGTTGCTGTTGCTTCCAGGTGCATCTCTCTCCCACTCCCTTCCCTGACTGCTAATCTATTAAACGAGCAAAGAAGCAGCCACCCTGGTTTCACATGCCTGAAAATATGGCAGATCTACTACATAAAACAAGATTATCACAGGCTGAAAAAAGGTGCTAATCTACTACTTGAGGTTTCTGCAGTTGCTTTAGACCTCTTAGTTTGCCAGCTTCCTTTTTCACACAGACAGGAACGGATGCTGGGTTCAGCTTTTCAAGAAATTCCCCTCTTTCCGCTCTGCAGTTGACAGGAAATTTCTGGTTTGTTGACTTGGATGGTATTTGGCGAGGAACCCGTAGAATGTATTTTTGGCAGAATGAATGCAATCTGAGAAGGGAAAATTCAAATAACTGAGCGTGGGAGGAAGCACTCAGAGTGCTGGATGCCCAAATGATCTGTAAAGTAATCCGGACCATTGTTACATGGAATTCTGACTGCTGCAGGAATATAAAGATATTCTCCACTGTTAAGAAACACCACTGTTTGCAAGACATGCCAGTCAAAGACAGTAACCAGGCTCTGGATTCAAGGTTAATCCCACTGCTGTCCCCTGAACGCCGTGTCTCACCCCCTCTGCAGGGGCGGCTGGCCGTGGCAGGTGGCACTGCGACTGAAATCCTCTCACGGTGACGGGAGACTCCTGTGTGGGGCTACTTTGATCAGCAGCTGCTGGGTGCTCACTGCTGCACACTGCTTCAAAAGGTGGGTCTCCCTGCAATGGTGCAGTTGTTCTGGGTATAGGCAAAAGCATTCCAGTTCCAGCCCACAGAAAACTGTTCCAAGGGTTGGCCTTTTGGTTTTAAAAAAACCTACCAACCAACCTCCCTTCCCTCAATACAAAACCAAACAAAACACCCTACTACATTGGAATTATTCTGGGTGTTATCACTCATGTGATTTATATTCACGACTTCAGCATTTTCATGAAAAAATGTTAACACTTCTGACATTTTAACCTTCTGTTCCAACAAAACTGCAGCTTGTGGCTTTCAGGTTATAGTGTAGACAACAGAGAAAACACCAAACACAGGGACTGTAGTATTTCAGATTAATTTTGGTAATGACAGATATTGGCAGTGATAGACATTTTTACTGTAACACAGCAGGAGTTCATTGCTGATGAAGTTGCTGAAGTATAAAAGCATCAACTTGCACAAGAAGGAAGCTGGTCTAGTATTGTAAGCTTTCAACAGTGATTATTTCACTGGAATGGGCTAGAAAGCAAGCATAGAACAGCACTGCAATTTTGAGGGTATTTGCTTGATTTTGCTCAAGTGGGCTGCAAATGTTTTAAATTTGGACTTTGAGCATTTCCTTTCACTCTCTAGTAACTCAAATGAAGAGTCAGATATACTTTTACTCAAATGCAGAATGTTACCTTTGCCCAGCACCAAATGCACATCTTTTCATTTTTGTGTTCCCTGAAATCATGAAGGACTTTTCCTGGTAATATTTCAAGCTGAAATGGTCAAGCTCAGTAAAATTTCTGCTACTTCCAACTGATGTTCCAGTTGTTTCTGTGGAACTATGAAAGCATTTCAGTTCCTTTCATGAAAATTCAGAGCAAATGGCCTCCTATGGTCCTGTTCATCATCTCTATAGTGATTACCAAGGATGACACGTAAGCTTTTGAAAAAGCCTTTGATTAGAGGCTTGAAATCGGAATGTGCTGCCAAGGAATGCCCATTTTGGATACTTTGCTGAACATATCCACATCATGGGACAACAGCATGACTGGAGCAAAATACACTGGGATCCTTCCAGATGGGCACAGCCACTCAAGGGTCTGCTACAGGCTACCCTAAAACTGTTACACGTGGCCTCAGTGACCAAAGTATTGTTTGGCCCCATATGTTGCATTAAAACTGCAATTAGCCCTAAGCTTGCAGCTCCAACAGCCTGTGGATGCACTACTGTTCACTGTAAAAGAGAGAAGGAGCCTTTAGCTCTGAGCTGTCATTGAACAGCCTGGGCTTAACTTCCCAGTGAGCTCAGAGTGATTTTAAGGGGATAGGTTTCCAAGAGCTATCTATAGATCAAGCGCCTTCTTCACATATTTTCCGCAGGCAGACAAGAGAAAGGCCGGTATACCATTTCTCATATCCCGGAAATTGGAACACTGCTTAGGTAACCAAAGTGGGCTCATCTGTACTAGGGATAAAAATTAAACACAGAATTGTTCACAAGTAGTATAGTGGTTTCTGTAATTTCACAGACATATAATTTAAGATCAAAAGTGGTTTGAAGCTATTTTTCATTTTATAACTCACTCATCTCATTATAAGTTTTATTCAGAGTGATTCTGACACCTGTGGGGAATTTGAAGGTCTATACATTAAAAAAAAATTACTTTGGATAATTATAAATATGCGGCATAGAAAAAAACCCCTTCATTTATCCTGTGTAGAAGTTCATGTTCAGATGAACAGATGTTTGTTCACAGCCTACAGCTCTCTCCTTAGAAGCCTACAAGTGAAATGTTGCTCATGGAAGACCTGAAGATCTGCAGAATTAGACAAAGCAAGCTTTTCAGTCAACCAGGAATGCAACCCACAACTAGAAGAAATATTCAGTGGTACAGCTATATATTGTGCAGTGAACTGTAATGTTCCTGCTTTGTCTGCTGCTCCTCAAGCAAGCTTTAGCAAGCTATGGAGACCAGCACATTGCTGGAGGGTATAAAAAGAACAGGTACAGGTTAGAAGGTGATGGAACACTGTGGGGTATTTTCTGCAAAAGTATTAGAAATTTCCTGTTGAAGGCTGTTTAGGATAATTCAAAGGAAAAATACTTCTGTTAGCTTAGCCAGATTTTAAAATAAATACATGTACCCAACAGTACTCCCTTGTTCGAATTTTACCAAGGGCTGTGTGTTGTGTAACACAAAAATCTCCAAAGGCATGCACAGAAAATTGTTATTTCAGCCACAGTAATAATTTCTAATGCATTTACCATTTAGTCTATAATGTGAAAGAAACTGAGATCATATGAGATGAAAAACAAGTCTAAGGTTTACAGGCCTTCTGTCACTTTGACAACAAATGTTGTGATGTATATATGCTTTGTCTTCCTTACTATAACTGCAGTTGATGTAAGAGGTTTTTATCAAGTTATCTAAGCCTCCAGAATTTCTCAACCAACCTACAAAGCAGGCCTGAACATTGTTTTCACTTCAATAATTATTTGGACCATCACAATGATGTTAGCACTCAGTTTTTCATTGTAATTACTGGCAGTTCATGTTACTCAATACATTTATAATGCACACCTTGCACCTTTGAAATCAGTGTCGGTCATGGCAGATGGTCATAAGAAACTTGCCTGTGAAAATATACAAAAAGGAACAGAGCCCAATCTGAAAATTCAGAAGATTTTTGTATTTGTATTTGTACTTGAATGTCAATCCAAACACCTCAGAGAGCATTTTTGCTCTTTAAAAACATCTCTTGGTATCATTAGTTTTATAAATAATAGAGACCCTGATGAAATCTGTTTGCCTGCTTAGGACCTGACTTTGCATGAGCCAGCCCTATTTGTTTTCACCTCAATCTCAGGTATGGCAACAACACTCGGAATTACGCTGTGCGAGTCGGAGACTATCACACCCTGGTACCAGAGGAGTACGAGGAAGAAATTGGAGTGCAACAGATTGTGATGCATAAAGAGTACAGGCCTGACAGCAGCGACTATGACATTGCCTTGGTGAGGCTCCAGGGCCCAGAGGAACAGTGTGCCAGGTTCAGCACCCACGTCTTACCTGCTTGTTTGCCATTAAGGAGAGAGAGACCACAGAAAACTGCTCCCAACTGTTATATCACTGGATGGGGTGACACAGGTAAAAATGTTTTAATGATTTCCATGTGCCAATCATGCTATCTGAGGCTGCTTTTAAAAAAAAATAAATCTCAGAGACTTAAAATAAGAAAATGCTCAAAATCAAACAATTGTACTGTTTTTGCATAGGGGAATACTTTCTCTCCTGATCCTTAACCAGGAATGACAACATTTTATTGACTGAATTTAGTTTGTGTTTGAAAAGCAGCCATTAACCATGTCACTCTAAATCAGAGACCCCATCAGTAAAATGGCCTAATTTAGACTGACAAGCCCAAATAAAAAGCTTATTTGTCGCCAGGCACACCCTGTGCAGCAGAATATCACTCCCTGCCTCAGTACATAACTAACAGCTCTAACACAGTTAGGGTTTTAAAGGTAAGGACCATGCATGTTTTAATTTTGGAAAGACTATTTAAATTACACTACTTCAATAGAAAAAGGGACAGAAAACATAGATGAAATAGAATTTCAAGTGACATTTTAGTTCTCCCTTGTTACCACTGACACTTTCAACCAGCAGTCAGATTTAAGAGAACATCTTGCCGAAATTTATGAGAGCCACAGTGCAATCTGCACTAGTCACTTTTTCGGTCAGTACAAGATTCTTCCTCTTCAAAGGTCTTTGTCCTTTAAATGTATTACTAACTGATAACCATGTTTTACTTTTATGTTTTTATGGTGCTGAATACAGTGCAAGTCAGCAACCACACTTGAGCCTTTGTTCCAGTGACTCATTCAAACTGGCAAGGAGACAAGGCGGCACGGCCAAGTATCAGTTCTTCCTCCTCACATGCACTGATCTGCGTGCACAGATGTCTGGGTCACTGTACTACAATACAGGAGAGAGACTTGGAGGGTGGCTTTTTTTGCTACAAACAATTGTTAATTCATTGCCCAGCTCTGTCTAGCCTTCCTACATAAATTCACTGAAGTCCTACAATGTTGTTAACTTAGGACATCTATTTCAGGAAACATTAACCACAGCAATAATTGGCTTCAATTATGGTAAGAAATGACATCATCCAATACCTCAGCTGACATTTCACACTTACTGTGTGAATCATAATTACTTTACAACTATTAAGATTTTTACTTTAAAAAGGCCAAACCAACACTGGTTTTCATTTTCCATGCTTTCACCTGAAAAAGAGGTGCAAGCTATAGAAAAGAAGTACAAAGATCCAAATTTGGATGCTCAACTTGGAAGCCAGCAGAAGATACAGCACCTGTCAGGCTGGGCTAGATTGGATTTGAACTGGTGACCCAGAAATTAGGTATTTCTATGACTTTACTCTCCACTGCTCAAGACTCCCAAAAATTGCTTCCCCATGTAAGTATATACTTCCCCATGAAGTATATACTCTTGTAGAAGACACAAAGTGCTTGGAACAAACCAAACTCCAGCCTTGGAAAGATCCAGAGAACACAAGCTACTTTTTTTTTTTTAAAGCATCTATATTTCACATGTACAATATATATTTTAGTACTATATTTAATGCACAGTAGATTTTTTTCAGTAGTCTTGCTTCAAGTCATGTTATTTAAGGACAAAACAGTGTGAAGACTGAGAGCATAAATTGGATTAAATCCCATTTATGTTTCCAAGACTAACCACTGTAATGAGAAAATAATTTGGGTCTTCTTTTTAGGACGGGCTTATTCAAGAACACTACAACAGGCTGCCATCCCCTTACTTCCCAAGAGGGTATGTGAAGAGCGCTACAAAAGAAGATTCACGGGAAGAATGCTCTGTGCTGGAAACGTCCAGGAACAGAAACGTGTTGACAGCTGTCAGGGAGACAGTGGTGGACCACTGATGTGTGAACGTCCAGGGGAAAGCTGGGTTGTGTATGGTGTGACCTCCTGGGGCTACGGCTGTGGGGTCAAAGATTCCCCAGGTGTCTACACAAAAGTATCCTCTTTTGTGCCCTGGATAAAAAGTGTGACCAAACTATGAATGTCTGGAATGAAAACCAAACTTTGAAGCAGGACAAGTTGAAGGGCACAGACAGTGCACAGCTGGGGCCCACAGTGGGTGGAAACAGACACATTTTCCTGATACGTGTGTTTTCCTTTTTGTTAAATCCAAGCTGTATACACACAACCTTTCCAGTTAGGGATTACTGTCCTCTGTGGTAAGGAAGTTTATGTATTGCAGGAATGAGTTACATGTATCTGAGGGGAAAGTGATAGCCAGCTGAGAGTAACACTGGAGCAGGACAGCTGGAGAGTTCACTGGGAGACTCACTGTCCACGGGAAGACTGCAGTAGCTCCAAGCTATTTATGCTCCAAGCTTCTCTAGAATTAATTACAGATCTCAATTAATCTTCAGTCTATTAGTTTATTTAATAATTTCTTGACTGTCTGCCTATTATCCCTATGATCTTACACTCAGTCCTCTAAATTTGACTCATGTTTCAGCAGCTAATGAGATCATTAGCAGACTGATTCTTGCTAAGTAATTCTGAGTATGTATTAAATGTTAGAAGATAAATAATTGCCAATAATCAGATCCCCAGCTATTCTGATAAATTTTCTCACAGTTTAGTGTGCATAAAGTACATTCCCAAGTGAAACAGGTAGTACACTTGACTGTTTCCTTACAAACATCCTGCACAGCTGCAAGAGCTAAATCAAAAACAAATGAACACTTATTTTCCTTCCCCTAGATAAGTAACATTTGTCTGATTTCTGAAATTTGTAATTTTGAGTAAATACAGCATTTTGGAGAGGATTTACTTATCCTGTTTACCACAGTGTCAGACTAAAAAATATCCCGCTTTTCTCATTGCTGGGCTTTACTGTGTGCAAAGAACCTCTGTCAATCCTACAAGAGAAAGTTATAAACACATTCAATGGAGATGTTGAGCCAAACCTGTCTGACAAGGTCTATAGTCTTAAACTCCTGTTTTCTACAAGGTAATATTCAGACAGCTCTCTCTTAGTTGCAGCACTGGTTCAGGTTGATCTTTACAGGAAAGCTGAGAGTTTTCACTGACTTCTAAAGTATTGACACATCTTGATTCCATTTAATCTCTTTTTCCAAATACTGTTCCGTATGCTGTGAAAACTTTGACAACTTATTATAAAAATGCACCGATAACCAGCTTAGTGTCCTTCTAGAAAGGGCCACCCCACTGAACCTAGAACACAGAACATAGCAGGTTATCATCATCTTAGTGCAACAGTAACAGGATCAGCCTGTGACTGCAGTTGAGAGGCAGCCAGGACAGCTCAGCACCATCTCCACAGTCCCCGTCAAAGGCCATTCTGACCATCACAAGTGTGCTCTGCATATTCCATTAACAAACACGCCCATAAAAAGATGAACTGAAAAGCTGTGGGCCATGAAACACTCCAGCGTGACAAGTGTGGCAGATGTGTCACCACATAGTGATTGTGCAAACTGTGACTAGCAGTGACTGTTTCCCTGTTCCCTATTCCCCAAACACTCTGGCTATGACATGTTGTGTGGTGTCTTGTGAAAAAGTGGGATGCTTGCATTCATGCTATAAGTGGGCAATCATTCATTTCTGTATGGTTCTGTGTCTCTCTCGTGTTATAACAAATACCCACAACTCAATTGCATACAAAGGGGCATTGATATTGCAGAAGCCCATGTGACTGAAAACTTGGCTCTTAATTTCTTGCTGACCTCACACATAAGTTTTCAAGGTTCATGACTAATTTAAATATCTTATTGGAAAAATGGTGCTAAACTAGTACATGAGGTGCTTTAATATATTTTAGTTCTCTGTAATTCCATGCTATTTGAAATCGTGTGAAGTATATTATTTAAAAAGATGTCAAAAATCACGGTACTGTGACCACCTGCTGTTAGACCAATATGAAAGACTGTGCTAATGAACATTGAAACCATTACATTTTTACTTATATATAGCCCATTTAATTACAAGGGAAGTACGTCTGTCAAAATGTATCCACTTGTACCATCCAAGCTTTGCTATACAAGACCATTGAGACTTATGGTGAAGTAGTCTATATAGTGCAATACATGCATTGTGTACAGGGGAAATAATCTTCTTTTAGAAGTTGAAATACGATACTTGGGGGTGGGATTAAGCCTGCATACTAAGTGTAGTAAACAGATTTAGTACAGTAGTTTGCTAGTACTGCTCTTTTAATAGGATGCTTTATTAGAGTTTAAAATGTTGCACTACTGTTTCCATGCTGAGCATGCCTTTTCAGTTTCTAACATAAAATGAAATTGTCTCCGTGTTATGCCATTCTCATTTTTGTTCAATGAGCCTGATGATGTACATGTAAACAATAAAAGCTGCCACACTGACTACAACTTCTGTACATTAATACAGTGGCTGTACAAGCAGGTGCTGCAGGAACATCAGCTGGGTAAACTTCACGTGAGCTTTATTAAACGAGAAAGGGTGCTCTTGAAACTATTTTATAAGCTTAGGGCTATTTCCTCAAAAAGGGAAATTTGCCTTGTATGACAGAATTCCTTCCCACTGTGTTAACTCACACCAGTTAGGCTGTCACAAGTAAGTTAATCCTATACTCTTAAAACTGCCTAAGAATGTTTTGACCCTTGCTGCTCTCCCCTCAATTCAACGTTTTTAATAAATGAGGTTGTATAAAACCCCCTGCTGCTTTTCAGCCTATGCTAAGGTTTTTTTCTATTAAGCAGGTTGGCCGCAGTGTTAATAGTGGCATAAACTATTGGCACTTGGCACTTCTACTACCAATGACCATCCTGAACACCACTCTGTAATCTATTCAGGCTCCTCAACACTGTAAAGACTTCGTTAGATGCAGCCCCCCTCATCTTCCCAAGTTTTTGTTCATTTTACAGAGAATATACAAGAGCAGAAGCATCACTGCAACTGACACACAAAATCTATTAAATTTATCCTGACCCCAAAAAACCTCCCAAAAAGGGGATTTACCTGTACACCAGATAAACCAAGATCCCATTTTATAACTACATGCAGAACACCTAGAACCTTAGCTGCCTTAATTCCAGAAATACTCACAGCACTGTAACAGCTTGTATAGAACAAAAGGTCAGTCCTCAATATTCTCCATTTTCAATGCTACTGCAACTATTTCATGCCTTTCTGTGCTATAGTATTTATACTCAAGAAGATCCCTGGAGAAACCAATCTCCAACCCTACTCCTGCTGCTTCCAATTCATTTACCTACCCCTGGCTTTCTTCATAGAGCCACAGCAAGGCACAAAAAAAAAAAAAAAACACTAAAAAATTAAGGAAGCCACTTTGCATCAGTGTGCCTGCCACAAGAGCAGCAGTTTCCTGCCCACACCTTGTTCTGGGACAGCCCCAGACCTTTCCTGGCCAGTCTATCTAGCATCTGCTTGTGAAAGGTAAGAAAAGTATTTTCTGGAAGCACTAAGGTTACTACACAAGCCAAGTCCTCTTGGAGAAAAGGAAACTCAAAGTACACACTCAGGACTGTTGCCTCCCAGGCTTGGCAGCCACGACCTCGGAATGCCCAGCAGTAAGGATGTCACATGATAGACCTGTTTAAAAGGAGAGAGTAATCACACACCCCCAGTTAAACAGGTGTGGTATCACTTATTATAAGTTCACACAGAATATCCACTCAGCTGTACTTCCACTGTGGCAGCAAAAGTATATGCTTGAAAAATAAGATGATGTTTCCTATGACAGTTCCTTGATCTCCCTAACAAAACGTAACACTACCAGCAGAAGTAATTTCCACAGTCTAATCCATGTTGTAACTAAGAGTCCACACTTCCACTCCATCCACTCCCAAGAGGAAATCCCACCTCAGTTGCCAAACACTTAGCAGTAATTACACTGCCTGCTGATGTTTTCAGTTCTAGCTCCATAGACTTTGTATCCCAGCCCATTCAAAGCCCCCTTACCCTAAACCTCCTATTTGGAACAATTAGCAAAAAACTTTCCTTATTAACTGGAAAATATTCTATAGGAGACTGTGTCAGCACAGGTGGTGTTAGCTAAGACTATAAGTAAAAAAAATGTTCTGATTTTGCAGTGATTCACCATCTACTGGAGCTCCACCTGTTTTTGTGAATATGGAGCCCCCAGGAACTGCAGCTGAAAAAGCAGCTATATTCAAAGTCGCTGTTTCTGCCCTGAAGCAGCAACCTCTGATCAAAGTCATACCCCTCCTGGAATGGTTCCCAGACAATGCATCCGCCACCTGAAACCACAGATTCTGCCAAAAGGTGTATCCCCAGAACAGGCAGATTTGGCAAGTGTAAGTCATTCCAATGAACATACCCAAGTCTAATCTTGGTTACCAGCAGAAAGAAGGAAACCACACCTGCAGCCAAAGTCTCTTTATTGATTTATTCATACATTTGAACGCTTTATATTGGCATAGATAGCAAAATCATGACTGTAAGTTTCCACATTCATTTTCTAGACTTCAAAAACTTACCTTCAGCTTCTGCAGTACACGGACACTCTTTGCAACCACCTTTCTAACATACTTCAGCAGCAGAGGAGCCGCCACTGAAGGTGCACGTGTCACTGGATTTAATACTCCTGCAGTGTGGTCGGCCACAGGACAGTGCAACACAGCCACTGAACTACCAAAACCATTATTGTAATTGCTCAACACTTAGGGACAGCCCAAAGAGGAGCAGCACATCCCTGAAAGCTGCACAAAATGGGCTACTCATCCCAACTGTACTTGTATAGAAGCAGGCAGGCTAATTTTAGGCACAGTAAGCTGTGTTCCAGCCCCTCTTTGCAATTATGAGAAGAACTGCAAAATCTCTCATTAAAGTTCAAAATCTTAACTTTATTTAAAAATCGAGACTAAGATCTAGCCTAAAATTAGCCTTTTCTAGCTCTGCTTGATAACCAGAAATATTACCACTCACAAAGGCATCAAAATGAAACAGATCCACCCCCCTCCCAGTAAAAATTAAAATTTTAGTCACAGCTACTCCTAGAATTCACATGTGGAATTTACCCCCATCTTCTTCTGTCATCACAACTCAAGAGTGTTTTTCCCCTGTAAAAACAAGTTTGAGGCAGTTTAATATTGTTACCGGGAAAATATACAGGACAGCAAACAGACATCATCGAACAGCAGGATGCGCTGAAACAATGCTTTTAGTATCGACCTCGTGTTTCCCTCTGCTCCTGTAACTGCAGATTCTGCTTAGAACTCACGTGCTTATTGAAAAAGACATTCCCCTTGCACAGAATATCCCCGAGAAATCCGTGGATTCGGATGCCTCTAGTCTGGCAAACAAGAGTACTGACAACGTGACTTTTACGGTAGGAATAGTGGATTTTTTCTGATGCATCTACACCCAAACCCCATTCCTCCCATTCCTTAAAGTAATGCACTCGGGTGTTATTTTTCTGACAATAAACCACGTAAAAATGAAGCATGGCTTAAAATGAAACACCAAACCTATACCTATTTTAGAGAACAAGTCGCAGCAGATTAATCACTAAACATAAATTATCAAATCGTTATTTTTCCCGATAAAAATCTCACTCCTGAAGAGCTTATTACGTACTATACACCCAGTCACATACTTTTTGGGGAAAGATCTTCAAGATCAGATAGTCTCCATATTTTCAGCTTCTGCGCTCCTGTAAAATAAAATAAAAAAAAGTTTAAAAACTGGGCTGTAATCACTTATTGGGGACAGAAAAGGTGAAAACTGAAAACTCAA